ACTATATAGTGTTCTGAGACTACATCTGCTCCTCTTCTTGACCCTGTGTCAAGTAGGCTGACTGCGTCTCCACTTTCTTGAGATTGAGATAAAGTCGATATAATTTGTAGTGTAGTGTGTCCTGGTGTCTGGTGAAATCCATGTCGCTTTGTGGATATCCTTGTGCTTGAACACACTGCCTCACTGCAATCACCATATCGTTGAATGCACAGAATTCTCCAAACAATTCTCCATTCTCGTTCATCACCTCACCGAGCGCTTCTCGACCCATGATGAGTTCTCTTCCTGTATTGTCCGCTTCCAGTTGGGCATTCATGTCACCCCACCCACTAGAATTTTGATATCGCCAACTGAGGTCTTGTCCAGTATTGATTGCAGTTATCTGTAGGATTCCTCCTTCTTCTCGTGCTCTGCATTATTTGTAGGTGCATAGTGTAGCATTGTATGATTGTGACCTTCCTTCCTTTTGAGTTGAACCTTGCTGTCATGATCCTGATGCTGGAGGAGATTGGTTCCCACTGCATGAGAGACAGCCCTCGATGCTGTTGGGGACATCATGATGGCCACTCCATAACTCAGTGTGCTCGTGGTTGTCGTCTGGGTGACAGTGTCGGAGTAGATTATTGATTCTCCGGTTGACATTTTGGAGAGTCCACTCCCATTCCATCTGCTTTTGCGAATTTCTAGCACTTCAGTATGATACCTCTTCATCTCTTTTGCAATCTGGGCTGCATGGCTGGGTTCAAACATGGTGCGGACATTCCATGTCTCCATGTTTACTTTCGCTCTCATCGAGAGAGAGAGAGAGGAGACACATGGCCAATGGGCTTCCCAATGGCTTTCACCAACCGGCGTCATTTCGTCTCTCCGGTTCCAGCAAGCAATAATTTTGTTTTCATTTTTCCCATTTTGTTTGTGCTTTGAAGTTTCTTTAGCGGTTTGATTTGTTTTGCGAGGTAGGGTTGCTAGCCCTATGCCCAACCTTCCCTCTTTACCCGGACTTAGGACCGGCTAGTATCTAGTGAACTAGTTAACCAGGTGAGGTTACTTTGAAATGCACTACAGAAAAATATCAGATTTATTGATTTAGTGGTTGTTTAGTGTTTACCAGTATATTTAACGCTTCCTGAATAGGTTAAATAAGACATATTCAGTTAATAACTATCATATATTGTTGGTTTATTTTCAAAGACGTTAATGTGTATCAATTTGGAGCATGGAATTCAAGAATTAATAAGTAAATAAGTTATGTAAAATATTATCAGAAAAAGAGTATGTTTGAAACTGACTAGATAATTAAATTTTCCAAGTTAATGAACACCTTTCTCAATACTAGCTAATTAAAAGTGTAGCGAAAAAAGTAAGTAGCTTGATATTACCTCACTTAGTTCAAATAGATTATAAATTTGATCTGAATCAATCATTTCCTTTCAAATACCGTGTCTCCAATAATTTACCGAAAAGTATAACATAATGAATACTGTAAATAAGAGAATCTGTAGTCATTCAGATTAAACAACCTGAAATATATGTGTATAAAAGAAACACATGCAAAGAATAAAACTACCATGATCAGCTTATGAACAGGCAACTTTCCCAGATATGATTTCAACCATCTAGTAACTGATTATTCTAAACTGTAGTGATGATTGATTGTCATATAAAATCTCAGTTTTGCCTTCATACACTTACTCTTTGATGAGGTCACAAGGATATATGACTGTTGAGCTTGAGGAAAAAGGTTATCCAAAAGAATATTCTATCCTCATCAAATTGTCGTTTCAAAGTAATCACGTCTGAGCATATCATCGAATGGAGTAAAAAAACTAATCATACATTTACTGGGCCTCAGTAATTCGTTCATTTTTCTTATCGCTGGGTTAACAATGTGTCTATGCATGGAAACAGATATATCTAGATGTAAATGAAGTGAAACTATATTTATTATTATCTAACAACTAGTAAGTTGGTGTAAAATGTATTTCATTCTATTGCACTTGAGAATAGCGCTCATTTAAAGAACATATCATAGCCAGTCAAGTAGACCATACTCAGAGAAGCTAAATAATTCGAGCTTTTATACACGTAACAATTAGGCTTATAAGGTGAATCACAAAATCGATCATTAGTGGGATTCTTGGAGATTTGATGGACAGAAAAAATCAGATTAAAATGGTTTGCGCCATCATAAGAGAAATTCTGAGTATCAGTTAATCTACGAAGTTGCTCATGACTATATATTTTATGTATCCTGGGAGAGTTGGAATCAATTAATCCTCACAAACCCTAAGTGAACGATGGAAACGTGGATTTATGTATTGAAAAAAGGAATACCTTCATCATATATGTTGACTGTTATGAAATGTGTGATTATCACACATTTAGTCATTATGTAAATAGATGGCCAAACTTCATCATTCCATTCTTCTTTTGTCTAGCCTTATCAATCACTTCAGTATTGCAAGCAAACAAAATTTCGATGAAATCTTCATTGCCATTTATTGATTCATTCATCGACACCATCAGACATCTCTCATTCTTAAAAAAAGTTTATACTATTATCGGTTTATTTAATTAAACTCCCATAAGTTGGCTGCGAAATATCTGATACCGTTACAGAAATTTATTCCTTGAATCACCCTGTGGTTTTGAATGCCTCAACTAGAATTCTGTTCATAACTTACACTACCACTTCTGTAAACATTCTCATAGACATATAAATGAACAGACTTGTGAGAGTGTCTGACAACATATGTTTACCACCATAGTTATTGTTGTAAGCTTTGTGACGTTCTCGCAGACAGAATTATGCATTCACTATGCTCAAATTAATATCCTCAAAGAAAAACAGTATTTAAGAATTTCTCAGGGAAAACGAGGATTGCAATTGCAACACATATATTACAGGTGGTACCAGCACACAGTGGGCACCAACTCATCCACCTAGTAGTAAATACATACATTAATAGCAACATTCACTTTGGCATAGACTCAGATGCATTCGGAAGTAAGATGATAGGATTGCAGTATCAGCTATCATAGTGTAGAAGAGGAATGAACAACGACAGTACTGTTGCAAAAGCAAGAACTCTGCATGCACAGTCAAACGTCCATCTGAAGAATCACAAATCACAACAGTCATCGAAGGGTAACCTTCAAATAAGTGATAAAAAATAGTGTGTAGAATTCAATCAGCACTGAGAACTGCACAACGTGAAATTATTCGCTTCCCAGTGATCAGTCAACTCTCTCAAGTAAACAAAACATTTCAGTACAAAGTATAATCTCATATTCACTGAACGTGCTCATATCATACCACATATCAGTGGTTACATGTGATTTGAAGGAAAAGTAGTCATGTTCTCTGTTGCAACACCTCTCATTACATTCATTCACACATTCATTCATATTCCATCAAATATGCTCATGAACTCACAGTTTCCATACCCATCCCCCTTTCAGCAGATTGCTTCCAACTCAATGATGTCCCATCCACTGTTAGACAATAGTCCTCCGAGTATCGTCCCATGCTTATTTCTTCGAAATGTCAGACCATAAACTTCAGTTTTAGACATGAACACAACCTGCATAAACTGCTTAGTTCGCATGATTCCTGTTCTATTGATAGTTACGTATCAGAGAGTGTGATTTATCTTGGTGTGTGTTTTTCTTCGAACCTTTCCTGGTCTGGTCTTCTCATATCTCATCTCACTAATTTCCAAAAGAATTTTTCACCTAATTTTCTATATTAGGAAGCTGAGAGTATCTGGTATTACTCAGCCTCTCCTCTTGTACTTTATAAACTTCTGCATCTTGCCTGTCCTCCTCTACTGCTCCCCCTTATCTTTTCCTGGGTTGCTGAAAAAACACTATGCTATATTACGTGGAGCTTTGGAGATTGTCAGCAGAGTTGGTGGTGTACCCCTCAACATTCGAGTGAAGACTGTTGTGAACAAACATATTAACTCATGTAAACATCTGACAGGAGTTATTTTATCAGATGACCAACATCATCTTCACTCAAAGCTCTCTGCGTGTCGGTCATCTGGAAAGACGAGGAGCAAGTGCATAAGACTCTATGCACATACTACAAAATATAAATCCCTACGATATCGTATTTTGCTCATCTCCTGTGTGACTAAGAAAACATTAGAAATGAACTGAATAATCAACTTCCATGTTTGAAAGCAAATTGACTGAAGATGAGCATGTTGCACTTGACATATTATAAATATAACTGCCAATGTGATTGTCTATCTAAATTAACTGTGCATTTCAAGAAAGTTGTAGATAGAGCGAATACTTACATCTTTTCCTTTATGCAACCTATACTTATTTCATTCTGATATATGCATACATATACACTGTCTGTATCCAACTGATGCCACACGACGTGCTGACAATTCTGTAGAGTATTCCACAAACAGCTTTCACAACAAAGGCAATAATATTATCATTATTATCATCATTATTAATATTATAGACACGTGAAGAGGGGAAATAATCATGAAGGGGATTTCGAATCCTGGATCATATGAAGGAGAATTGTAGTCGATATTACGAAATTCTTTATTCAGAGACTTGATTTTACATCGTATGTAAGATTACTATCACGGGAAACATACCCGAAGTTGAAAATACTCGTCTCTCCATTTACTTCCCAGTGAACACCATCCACATCACGCCAAATGTGATTTCCATTCAGAAGAAATAGGTATCTCCAAGCATCCCACGCTTCCGATAAATGCACGTCTGCTGAAATTGCTAGAATCACAAACAAGCACAGAATTTTAAACCACACACAGTATTCCCCAACTAGTGAGATGTAAAATTCAACTGAAATACATCTCTGCAGTGGATTCGCTTACAAGGATTATTATTGAATAATTTCAATTGATTTAACAGTCAAATTGTGGCAGGTGAGAATATCTCTCAACACTCAGTAGAAAATGTACTCAAACATTCTCTTTCTCTTAACCACCTGATCAAATGAACGAATCTCACTCCAATTTTCTCCTCTCCATCCACTTTTTCATCGTCTCAAGAGTATTTCCTGACTCCATTTGATGTTGCATAAAAGTACTGAGAAAGTTGTATTCAATAATTGGTTTCAAATTTTGTCTCTTATCTCCTTCACTCATTTCGGAATACCAGTTAGATGTTGCCAGTTCACTGACATTTCTCCTCATATTTGTGCTCACTTGCAGCAATGACACAATTGTCTCACGGATACACGGGTCAACTCTGAAAAGTATTGGAGCCACCAACTTGCATGAATTCCTCTTCATGTCATTCAACAATGTGGACATTTCTTTATATTCCAGAAATGGAAGTCTACCTGTTATCAGTAGATGCATGATTATACCAACAGACCAGGAATCCATTTGAGATGACTTCTTATTCCACAAGTCATTCACCGTTTGGCAGATATTCTCCAAGGAGTTCAAATGAAAGTCAGCAGCGGAATCCACTACCAGATCCAGATATTCAGGTGATAAGTAGATAAACATTTGATTAATATTGTTAGTCAACAAATTGATTTCTGTCAGCACACTGAAATCCAGTGCCAATGAAACTGAAGTTGAGCTGTCTGTTTTAAAGAAAATATTGAATGGTTTGATATTTCCATGAAAAATATTTCTGCCATGCAGATAATCAAGAGCCAGACATAGATGATGTACAATATGACAAACATCCTCCACGTGGAATGATGCTCTTTGTTGAAACCATTCAAAAAGATTGCCATAAGGACAGAAGTTGGTTAAGATTGTGAATTTAGTTTCATCTATGCCAATTTCATAGGATACAAGAAAATCTTTATCCAGTGTAGACTGAGATTCTTGAAATCGTTGTAACAATTTTAAACGAAATATATTTTGAAAAATATTCTTCCATACATGTGTAATTGGCCAGTGTTTTAAATTGAATTCCTTGCAAATCACTTTCTTGTTCAACGGTACAATGACACCACAACGATAAGACGTGAATTCATTCAACTGAGTGGCGCCAAATGCAATTTTCAATATGACCTTCTCCATTTTTCATCTTTCACAGTGTCTACGTTACTTAATAGGGAGTAAATATTTACACTCACACAGAGAGAGAGAGAGAGAAAGAGAGAAGAATACTTTTCTCGGTCTCCTGTCTTATAAATATATATCTATTCCAATGGCTTGTGAGTAATCTTGTCACATGTGTCATGTGTGAAGCGTGAATGAGAGTGGGAACACTACTCATGTGACATGTGAAATGGCGTTCCGATAAACAAATTTTGTAGATTAAAAAGTGCTTAAAAAGAGAGGAAATAGGATATTCCTGTAGAAATTGTCGAATTATATGTGAGGGTATGTGCATAGTATGTGATAATGGTTTCCGTGAAATCAGTTGAAGAATCTAGTAGTTTGTATGCTTGAGAAAGCAACTAATTTCCCCCTCGTTCTCAGAGTAGAAGGTGTTTGTCATGACAGTTTCTCTCCTTTACAGATTTACATCACATTACATGTAGGTGATATCATCATCTGAAAATCAAAAGATCAACATACTCACAAACGAATCATATGCTTCAAGTATTTACTTTTGTTGAGATATCAGGAATTGTCTAACCATTTGTTATTGACTTGAGAACACACTTCCAGTTTTGTGCAAATAACTATAAATGAGTAGTTTTGAGTATTCACTCATCTGCATGTCATTGTAGAATGTTGGAAGCATTCCCAGTTGCATTTGAAATGGTTGACGTTTACTGTGGGGAAGGCAGAGCACATCTGTTCATTGACGGAAAAATATTCACTGAGTGCTTCGCAGAGTGGGTGTAACTGATTTGCAAGTAGTTCTAATTCTTGTATGGTGTGATTCGAAGATCCTCTTGAAATATTAGTGAACTGGACAGGTGTTTTGCTCTCAGTGAACACGTGACCTCATGAAGGATGAAGGCATAAACAGTCAGGTTTTGTGAGAAATATCTTATCATTCAAAACACATTTTCACACTTCCATCGATTTGTGTGTGATATAGCCTGACTACTATCCAATCCGAAGTAAGGATACTTGTTTCCACTGAGGATATTAGTTTACTATATGCATCACTCACGTCTTCTCATTTGAAGTCCAAATATGTGTAGCTTGCCAATTAGAACTGGAAAGTTTGGTGACTGTGGGTGGATGATGGTTGTACAATGTCACAAATCGACAGAAGTCGTAAGATGTGACTGAGTGAATTCTGCCTCACTATCTGAATACAACATATAGTTTCCGAGGAACCCAGAGGTGTGTAGCATGAACCTCTCCTTTGTTGAGTATTCTGAATGCAGGAATAAGCAAACCTCAAGTCTTCGTGTCCTTTCAATCATTAGCCTTGTTATGTCAATTTTTGAAAAAATTTTATTCTTGATAAATGTATGAGGTAAACTAATAGGTTCGCAACGACTATTGCTTTAAACGGTGTATACTTTTCAGGATATGCTATAGACACCGGTATATATTGTCGCTGATTATACATTTAGTAGAGATCATTCAAGTTAGTTAGTTAGTTACAGTTATTTGCACAAAACTGGAAGTGTGTTCTCAAGTCAATAACAAATGGTTAGACAATTCCTGATATCTCAACAAAAGTAAATACTTGAAGCATATGATTCGTTTGTGAGTATGTTGATCTTTTGATTTTCAGATGATGATATCACCTACATGTAATGTGATGTAAATCTGTAAAGGAGAGAAACTGTCATGACAAACACCTTCTACTCTGAGAACGAGGGGGAAATTAGTTGCTTTCTCAAGCATACAAACTACTAGATTCTTCAACTGATTTCACGGAAACCATTATCACATACTATGCACATACCCTCACATATAATTCGACAATTTCTACAGGAATATCCTATTTCCTCTCTTTTAAAGCACTTTTTAATCTACAAAATTTGTTTATCGGAACGCCATTTCACATGTCACATGAGTAGTGTTCCCACTCTCATTCACGCTTCACACATGTGACAAGATTACTCACAAGCCATTGGAATAGATATATATTTATAAAACAGGAGACCGAGAAAAGTATTCTTCTCTCTTTCTCTCTCTCTGTGTATGAGTGTAAATATTTACTCCCTATTAAGTAACGTAGACACTGTGAAAGATGAAAAATGGAGAAGGTCATATTGAAAATTGCATTTGGCGCCACTCAGTTGAATGAATTCACGTCTTATCGTTGTGGTGTCATTGTACCGTTGAACAAGAAAGTGATTTGCAAGGAATTCAATTTAAAACACTGGCCAATTACACATGTATGGAAGAATATTTTTCAAAATATATTTCGTTTAAAATTGTTACAACGATTTCAAGAATCTCAGTCTACACTGGATAAAGATTTTCTTGTATCCTATGAAATTGGCATAGATGAAACTAAATTCACAATCTTAACCAACTTCTGTCCTTATGGCAATCTTTTTGAATGGTTTCAACAAAGAGCATCATTCCACGTGGAGGATGTTTGTCATATTGTACATCATCTATGTCTGGCTCTTGATTATCTGCATGGCAGAAATATTTTTCATGGAAATATCAAACCATTCAATATTTTCTTTAAAACAGACAGCTCAACTTCAGTTTCATTGGCACTGGATTTCAGTGTGCTGACAGAAATCAATTTGTTGACTAACAATATTAATCAAATGTTTATCTACTTATCACCTGAATATCTGGATCTGGTAGTGGATTCCGCTGCTGACTTTCATTTGAACTCCTTGGAGAATATCTGCCAAACGGTGAATGACTTGTGGAATAAGAAGTCATCTCAAATGGATTCCTGGTCTGTTGGTATAATCATGCATCTACTGATAACAGGTAGACTTCCATTTCTGGAATATAAAGAAATGTCCACATTGTTGAATGACATGAAGAGGAATTCATGCAGGTTGGTGGCTCCAATACTTTTCAGAGTTGACCCGTGTATCCGTGAGACAATTGTGTCATTGCTGCAAGTGAGCACAAATATGAGGAGAAATGTCAGTGAACTGGCAACATCTAACTGGTATTCCGAAATGAGTGAAGGAGATAAGAGACAAAATTTGAAACCAATTATTGAATACAACTTTCTCAGTACTTTTATGCAACATCAAATGGAGTCAGGAAATACTCTTGAGACGATGAAAAAGTGGATGGAGAGGAGAAAATTGGAGTGAGATTCGTTCATTTGATCAGGTGGTTAAGAGAAAGAGAATGTTTGAGTACATTTTCTACTGAGTGTTGAGAGATATTCTCACCTGCCACAATTTGACTGTTAAATCAATTGAAATTATTCAATAATAATCCTTGTAAGCGAATCCACTGCAGAGATGTATTTCAGTTGAATTTTACATCTCACTAGTTGGGGAATACTGCGTGTGGTTTAAAATTCTGTGCTTGTTTGTGATTCTAGCAATTTCAGCAGACGTGCATTTATCGGAAGCGTGGGATGCTTGGAGATACCTATTTCTTCTGAATGGAAATCACATTTGGAGTGATGTGGATGGTGTTCACTGGGAAGTAAATGGAGAGACGAGTATTTTCAACTTCGGGTATGTTTCCCGTGATAGTAATCTTAGATACGATGTAAAATCAAGTCTCTGAATAAAGAATTTCATAATATCGACTACAATTCTCCTTCATATGATCCAGGATTCGAAATCCCCTTCATGATTATTTCCCCCTCTTCGCGTGTCTATAATATTAATAATGATGATAATAATGATAATATTATTGACTTTGTTGTGAAAGCTGTTTGTGGAATACTCTACAGAATTGTCAGCACGTCGTGTAGCATCAGTTGGATACAGACAGTGTATATGTATACATATATCAGAATGAAATAAGTATAGGTTGCATGAAGGAAAAGATGTAAGTATTCGCTCTATCTACAACTTTCTTGAAATGCACAGTTAATTTAGATAGACAATCACATTGGCAGTTATATTTATAATATGTCAAGTGCAACATGTTCATCTTCAGTCAATTTGCTTTCAAATATGGAAGTTGATTATTCAGTTCATTTCTAATGTTTTCTTAGTCACACAGGAGATGAGCAAAATACGATATCTTAGGGATTTATATTTTGTAGTATGTGCATAGAGTCTTATGCACTTGCTCCTCGTCTTTCCAGATGACCGACACGCAGAGAGCTTTGAGTGAAGATGATGTTGGTCATCTGATAAAATAACTCCTGTCAGATGTTTACATGAGTTAATATGTTTGTTCACAACAGTCTTCACTCGAATGTTGAGGGGTACACCACCAACTCTGCTGACAATCTCCAAAGCTCCACGTAATATAGCATAGTGTTTTTTCAGCAACCCAGGAAAAGATAAGGGGGAGCAGTAGAGGAGGACAGGCAAGATGCAGAAGTTTATAAAGCACAAGAGGAGAGTCTGAGTAATACCAGATACTCTCAGCTTCCTAATATAGAAAACTAGGTGAAGACTTCTTTCGGAAATTAGTGAGATGAGATATGAGAAGACCAGACCAGGAAAGGTTCGAAGAAAAACACACACCAAGATAAATCACACTCTCTGATACGTAACTATCAATAGAACAGGAACCATGCGAACTAAGCAGTTTATGCAGGTTGTGTTCATGTCTAAAACTGATGTTTATGGTCTGACATTTCGAAGAAATAAGCATGGGACGATACTCGGAGGACTATTGTCTAACAATGGATGGGACATCATTGAGTTGGAAGCAATCTGCTGAAAGGGGGATGGGTATGGAAACTGTGAGTTCATGAGCATATTTGATGGAATATGAATGAATGTGTGAATGAATGTAATGAAAGGTGTTGCAACAGAGAACATGACTACTTTTCCTTCAAATCACATGTAACCACTGATATGTGGTATGATATGAGCACGTTCAGTGAATATGAGATTATACTTTGTACTGGAATGTTTTGTTTACTTGAGAGAGTTGACTGATCACTGGGAAGCGAATAATTTCACGTTGTGCAGTTCTCAGTGCTGATTGAATTCTACACACTATTTTTTATCACTTATTTAAAGGTTACCCTTCGATGACTG